TGTAGTGTATCAGTGTATATATTTACATGTATATAGATAGATACACGTATTTATATATGCATACACAGGTGGCTCAGTGGATAGAGTTTTGAACCTGGAGTCAGGAAGTCCTGAGTTCAGATGCGATCTCATATACTAACTATGTGACCATGGACAAGTCACTTAAGTTTTCTATGACTCAGTTTCCTCAGCTATGAAATGGGGATAGCACCCATCTCCCACGGTTGTGGTGAGAATAAAATGAGATAATATTTAAAAGTACTTGGCAAACTCAAAAGAGCTAACACACAGGCACCCAGAGACACATACACAGAATTGATAATGAACTTCCCCCCTGCCACAATGCTAAGGGGCCTGTTTAGAATCTGAAATGACAGTTCCCAGGTTGGAGGATGTCTCAGTATTCTAAATTGTTGTCACTTTATTGTATGTTATCCAGCAGGGCCAAACTCTATAGGAAACAGTCTAGGGACATGTTAGCCTCAAGGCTAAGATGTCATGCTATCCACATATAGAGCTGTGGAGTTAGAATGCAGATTGAAGTATACTATTTGCTCTTTTTTTTTTTCTTCTGTTGTGTTTTGTTTCTTCTTTCATGTGGTTCCTCCTATTGGTTCTAATTCTTCTTTACAATATGACTAATGTGAAAATATGTTTAATAGGAATGTATATGTAGAGCCTATATCAAATTGCAGTCCATCTTGGGGAGGGAGGCAGGGAGAGTAGGGGAGAAAATTTAAAACTTTAAAGCTTATGGAAGTGATTGTTGAAAACTAAAAATAAAGACTAAGATGTGACTGGACAATAGTCTGGGTCCCAGGCAGACCTGCAGAAAGATCAAAGGAGATAAATAGGGTGGTGATAGAGTTAATATGCTCTTTGTACAGGAACTAACACTTTGCAAATGATGAGGGCTTTGGCTTTGCTTTGTTCCAAGGGAATTCAGATTTTGTGGGTGTTGTTTGTTTTTGAGGAGGAAAAGAATGATAAACTCAAAGCTTTGGGCACCACGACCATAAGGTCAGACCTGTGAAAGACAAGGAGGCTAGCCCTGTGTCTCCAAACACTAGAGTGATGGTGACCCGGCCTTGTGCTCTGGACAAACAACCATCTGCTGATGGGAAATAGGGCTCAGTTCTAAGAATGGTAATTTCTGAGAAGCAGAGGGAGAAGGCTATTGCCAGGCACTCATGGATGGAGGAGCTATTGGCTTCTTCTCTGTGGTAGCTTATTGCAGTGCCAAGACACGTACCAGGATTTACGGAAACATCTACCATCACTGAACCTTCTAAAAACCCTTTTTCCTTATCTAAGGTGTGTGTGGGAGGTGGGGAAGGGAGGGAATGGAAAAAGGGAGACGGAGGTTCAGCCCTCAACATAGAGCTAAATAAACAGTAACTAACATCTATATAGCACATTATGGTTTGCAAAGTGCTTTACATATTTGAGCCTTATTACCATCCTATGGGGTAGGTGCTATTGTTCTCTCTCTTTATGTCTGAGTTAGCTGGAGATGAGCGAGGTTAAGTTGCCTCAGGTCAGACTGCTGTCTAAATCTAACCCTACTGGGCTTCAAGTCCATTGCTCTATCCAATATATTACATTGCAAGCAGGCCACAAATAGTTAGCTATTCAGAACAGAGTAATTCAGGTCTGTGGAGGCACATGGGGGAAATACTTCTACTGCTCAGTCTTAATTGCTAAATGTATGTATATAAGTGTAATAGTAAACTTCTGTGGCCTACAATGGAATTGCAGACTTAGAAGGTCTGAGGCATTTTAGATATTAGTTAGAAGGGATTTAGTTTAATTCAGGACTCTTCAATTGCAAATGAGGAAACTCAGGCAGAATGGTTAAATGCCTAGCTTCAAATCACACAGCAGGGAAATGGCTGGGTGTCAAACCCATTCCTGATTTAGTGCTCTTTCCACATTACATCATGGTGTCTGGGTCTGTGTAGGCCAGAGTATAAGCTACTTGAGGACAGGGACTATTTTGGAATGTGTCTTTGTTATTTTCCTAGTGCCTAGCATTAGCACAGTGCCTGCCACCATAAGTGCCTAATAAATGATTATTGGTTCATTGATTGATTCTTTCCGTCTCTGTTAAGTTCTCCAGACTATTGGAATGATTTGAAAGATTTGACTTATCTGGTACTTGAAACTCACAGTCTTTGTAGTGAGTGGTCTTTTCTCTTATAGTACGCTCTCTTTCTCTCTCTCTCTGTCTCTGTCTCTGTCTGTGTCTCTCTCTGTCTCTGTCTCTCTCTCTCTCTCTCTGTCTGTCTCCCCCCCACCTTCCTCTCCCTTCCACTTAGTTCTGAGCTGTGTACCTGTGGGAACTCAGTTAAATGTTGTTTGTTGGATGTGTGATTCCTAGGAAACCTTCATGCATCGCTTTAAAAATAAACAGGCTGCAAAGCTCCTTTGAAGCTTGCCCAAATCATTTTGAGGGAGTGGTCTCTAAACTGTTTTCATTGTATACTTATTACAATAATTTTTTTAGCATTCTCCTGTATTCATATGTATATATTATTAAGTACATACATTCCTGTATTACTATATTATGCACCCAAGAAAACATGCACAGAAAATTTTAAAGGATCTGATAAAATATTTAAAAATATTTATTTTACGTATTAATGGTATAAAATTCTTTTGCTTTTGTGGAAAATATTATTAATACTATTTTATACATGACAAATATGTCTGGCATATGAAGTGAATTTAAGACCAGTGTCGATCACTATATTAAATAAGAGCAAAGTTTAATTTTTTTTTAGATAAAAAAATTTGAACTTCCTTGCCCCCCAACTTTTAAAAACTGTTCATAGCAGATTAGAAAACGGATGCTTCTGTTATGTCCGTAAGGTAGGCTAAGTTAGCAAACATGATTATTTCACTTAAAAAAATCCTTGTGGAAGAGAACCTAGGCGTACCAGATCCCAAAATTATACCACAAAGGAGTAACCATCAAAACTGTTTGTTTTCAATAAGGGAAACAAATTAGACATATAACATATAGAAGCAAACATAGCATTTGATAGACCCAAGTGCACAATTACTGGGACAAGGGGTCACTTTTCAGCAAAAACTGCTGAGAAAACTGGAAAGCAATCTGGGAGAAATTAGGTCCAGACCCAAATCTGACCGGATATTGCACATTGAACTCCAGAGGGATACAGGAGCTCTATGTGACAGCATAAACTGGAGGAGCAAAGGTAAATAAATATTCTGTTCTTATATATTCAATATATAATATTTGAATTCAAATATATAATATATTCTTATATATTTAAGTATATAAGAATGACAGCCATTCCCTTGTAGGTAAATGGTCAATTGAGTAAGCAGTTCTCAAATCCAAGCAATTAACAGCCATGTTTTTTAAAAACTTCTAAAATATTATTAGAGAAATGCAAATTAAAACAATCCTGAAGTTCCACTTCACATCAGATTGACAAAAATGACAAGAAAGTAAATGACAGTTGCTGATGTGGTTGTGAAAAAACAGATCCATTAATACACTGTTCATAAAATTAGTCTAGCTGTTCTGGAAAGCAATTTGGAACCATTCCCCCCTCCCAATTATTAAATTGTGCATACGCTTTGACTCAGCGATGCCACTACTGAGCCTGTACCTCAAAGATCAAAGAGAGGAAAAGGATCCATAAGTACAAAAATATTTATAGTAGCTCTTTTTTTAAATTGCACAGAACTGGAAGCAACAGGGGTGCCCATCAGTTGGGGAGAAGCAGAACAAATTTAGCTAGTTAGAATATTGCCAGAAAAACAAAAAAGAAAGAAGAAAAAAGAGGGGCGTTAAAGTATTTTAAAAGAAAACATTGATAAGCAGGACAATTTTGAAAATAATGTGTTCAATTGTTATATATTCTTTTAAAAAAAAGTATATGTACATAATGCAAATTTGTGGTTTTATATATGATCATGTTTTTTCTGTTCTACTTACACCTACTGGTGAGACCACTGGTTTGGATCACGGGCCTGGATGTTAGCAAATCTTTTCCTCTATTCTTCCTCATTGTAACCAGAAAAAGCCAACACTGATCTGTTGCTTGTTTACTATATGCCAGGCACTGTGCCAAGCACTTTGCAATTATTATCTCACTTAATCCTCATACCAACCCTGAGAGGTGGGTGTTATTATTATCCCCATTTTACAGATGAGGAAAGTGAAGCAAACCAATGTTAAGCAACTTGTCCAGAGTTATTGAGCTGGTAGTATTCTGGGGCTGGAATTGAACTCAGGTCTTCCTGACTCTAAGCCTGGCACCCTATCCATTGCTCCTCCTAGTATGGAATATAGAAGTCCTTATCTTACAGGGTCATTGTAAGTAAAGTACATTGACACATCAATGTCATACAGAAATGTGAGTGGTTAACAGATTAGGTCTACTCATTTTGTTACTGTCATATTGTAGAATAAGTGAGCTCATTACGAATTAGATGGGTAAATGGAAATAACTATTTCTGAGAATATAAAGGACAATTATTTGGAAGGATTAGGATAACTTGCTATTTTCCAAGTATCTGGATAGGGTGTTTGTTTTTTAAGCTTTTACAAAGAAATAGTTACTATGAAGGTACAACTGGAATAGAAGAACATACAAACATTTCCCCTCAACATTTCAGGGGCACGCCTGCCCCTCTACCACCTTCACCCCTAGTGAAAGTGTGCTCAGACTTAGCACAGTTTCTACATAACTTTGGTGTGTCTAAGACATTTGTAATTAGACTCAGAAAGCCCCTTTTCCCTTTGTTTTAGAGCCTCAGTTGGGGGAAAGATAGATAAGATCATAGGTCATAAGATCTAACTCATAGATTTAGAGCTGGTTGGGATCTCAGAAGTCATTTGGTTTAACTTCTGGAAACTGAACCCCAGAAAAAGGGCATATCTTCTTAGGACCGTTCTTGCTGTCACTTTTCTCTTTTACCTATTGCAGGTGTGTTTATTTTTTCTTTATTTTCCTTTTCCACAGGCCAGGTGTTATCACCATGCAGGCATTGTCTGAAGAGGACAGGAGACTGTGGATGGAAGCCATGGATGGGCAGGAACCAGTAAGTGGCTCTTCACTGAAATGGGATAGGACAAAATCGTACCAGGTCTTTTTGCTGCCTTGGGAATATGACACAAGTTTATAGATTACAGTTTGGAAAAAGAATTCATATGAGACTGTTTCACTTAATATTAATGTTTAGGTAGCTGCTGGTAGGTGACTAAAGTACCTGGGATATACCTTGGATATGGACCACAAATGGTTAGGGCCATAGACATGATTGACTGATAGTATGATAATATAACATGCTTTTCCACTCAATAATGCTTAAAAATTTTATTTAAAAAACAAACAAACAAACAAACAAACAAGGGCAGCTTGATGGTGCAGTGGATAGAGCACCAACCTTGGAGTGAGGAGGACCTGAGTTCAAATACGGCCTCAGATACTTGACGCTTACTAGTTGTGTGATCCTGGGCAAGTCACTTAACCCCGATTGCCTCACTCAAAAGAAGAAGAAGAAGAAGAAGAAGAAGAAGAAAACAACAACCTTGAACCTAAACAATTATTAGTATTAATGTTATTTTTAACACTACTGTACTTTAGTTCAACATTTAAAGAAATGCAGTAAAAAAGAAATAAAATACATAAAGCACTGTACTTTTCTCACTAATCACCAGCTGTTGTCATTTACTGTTTATCAATGTTCTTCCTTTATACGTAAATAAAAAATAAATTTCTTATTCCCTTAAATCCTTTCTTAGAGACGAAAGTCCTTCAAGTTCAAATATGTAGTTCCTGTGTGTGTGTTTTATATGCTTTAGGAGCTTGGTAACAATGCCCTTTTAGGCAACTTTCTATATAGTTTTTATTTTCCCTATAGCAAAAGATCAGACTACATTTTAATTTGAGATGGTATTAAGTTTTCTTTTTTTAATTTTTAACATTCGTTTTTAAAAAAATTTTGAATTTCAAATTCTTTCCCTTCCTCACCCATTGAGAAGGCAAGTAATATGCTATCAGTTATACATGTGAAGTCATATAAAAGCATATTTCCATATTAGCCATATTGGTAGAAAAAAGCTAAAAAAAAAGGCAAGAAACATATTGCAAAACATATTTTGATATTAGCCATGTTGCCAAAAAAAAAAGGAAAAATTTTTAAAAAGTGAAAGAATTATGTTTCGTCTGTACTTAGTTTATCAGTTCTCTCTCTGAAGGTGGATAATTTTTTTTATCGTAAGTCTTTTGGAATTGTCTTGTATTATTGTATTGATCAGAGTAGCTAAGTCTTTAGAGGCAGCTAAATGGCTCTGGACTTAGAGTGCTGGGCCTGGAGTCAAGAAAATCCAAGTTCCAATAGAGCCTCAGGCACTTACTAGCTGTGTGACTCTGGGCAAGTGACTTAACCTGTTTGCCTTGGAGGCAGTGACTTGGCTCAGTAGTTAGAGAGCTGGGCCTAGAGTCAGGAAGACCTAAGTTCAAATTCAGCCTTAGACACTAGCTGTGTGACCTTGGGCAAGTCACTTAACCTCTGCTTGCCTTAATCCACTGGAAAAGCCACTGCTTCTCGAGGCATTCCATTTCATGTTTAGAAAGCTCTAATTTTTAGGAAGCTTTTCCTGATACCAAACCTAAATTCACTAATTGCCACTCTTTGTTCTTATTTCTGCCTTCTGGAGCCAAACATCTCTTCTCCACATGACAGACTTTCAGTCATTTGAGGACAGGCATCATGTAACAATGCTTGTATGACATGATCTTGAGGCTTTTGCATATTTCTCATGTTCTTCCACTCTATGCTCTCCCATTTGCCCTTTCTCATGTTCTCAGAACTGAACATACTTTACTCTAGATGTGATCTGACCAGGGAGAGTACAGTGGGATTATCACCTTCATTTTGGATATTATGCTGTTCTTTCTTAAAAAGGAAGCCTCAAGATTTTATATTTTCCATTTAAAAATTATTGAAATAGACCCAGAAGGAGAAAATACTTTGAATTTCTTTTGTTATAGAATTTTTTTATAATTTTAGTAAAATATTCTTAGAAAACGGAGACATTATTGGAGATGCAAAGAAAAGGTATTCCTAAGTGATAGTATTTTAGTTATAGTGTTGTTTCTTTGTCTTTGTTTGCCTATCATTCAGATTAAATAGCATGCATTATAAATAGTATTAAATAGGTATCTGGAGTTCCCCTAATAAAGGTACTTTGTCAGTGTAAGCCAGTATTATTTGCTTTTCAGTCAAAGTATGCCACTTTTAATATAGCCTAAGATAACCTTAACTTTTGGATGCTACCATCACAATTGAAGGAAATTGAGGCAGACAGGTTAAGTGACTTGCCCAGGGTCACACAGCTGTGTCAGGGTTAGGATTTGAACTCACTTGAGGGCAGATTCTTTATCCATTTCACCACAGTAAAGGCTTCCATTCAAGTTCATAGGATCCTAAAATTGGAAGGGACCTTTGAGGTTGACAGTGAGCTCTAAATGTATCCGAAGACCTGAATAATGAACTTTTGCATTAGAAAAAGGTGAATAAATCAGAAGACAGAGTCTGGTCATTTGACCAGTTCCAAATACAGCTAACCATACTGTGTGTAACTTAGTCTGCATTTCCACTTCCTATCTAGGAGGATAATATCTGAGAGACTTGACCAAATGCTCTCCTGACATTTAGGTGTACTCTGTGCTCAGCATTTGCCTAATCTCTTAGGCTGGTAACCATATCATAAAGCAAAAGGCTTGACCTGTCTTTGATAGAACGGTGGTGTTCTTTTTTGTGACCTTCATCTTCCCTGCCCCCAGATGTTCAAAAACTACCCCTTTAGTAATACATCTTAGAATTTTTTTTAGAGGAGTAGAAGTCAAGCTCATTGGTCTATTAGATTCAACTCTCTTCTTCCTTTTGATAATTGGGACATTTGTTTTTTTTATGCCTGTGGCATCTCTCCTGTTTTCTCTTGATTTTTTTTAGAGGTCGTTGATAGTAGTCCCATTAATTGTATTTGCCCATTTGGATGTTGATAATAGTCCTGTTAATTATATTTGCCCATTTGGATGTAGTTTCTTTGGTCCGATGACTCAAAGATGCTCTGTAGGTGTTCTTTTATTAACTCTTTATATTATTATATTTACATTTCTTTATATCTATATATTTATATTATATTCAACTCTTCTTTAGCCATTTTTGTTCCATCCTTTCCAGTCCAAAGATTATTGTCTTTGGAATAAAAGAAATATGGTACCACATTGACTATGTATATACTTCAGGATGGGCAAAGCTTTGTGCTAAGTGTTAAGGATATAAAATAAAAAAATGAAGTCTTTCCTGCCTTCAGGGAACTTCTGCTGGAAGCTTTTTGCTTCCAAAATTCAGAAAGCAGAGTTAAATCATTCTACCTTCTTTCTACCATGGATTATTATCCTATTTGCCATGAACATGGACCTCACCCCTTCTTTCCCACCCTCTACCCCCCTCTTTTTCTGGGGAGGGGTCAGCCTTAAGCTCCTGTGTCCATCTACCACTGCTTGCCCTTATTAGTGCTCCAGGTCAGGGCTTCTTAAACTTTGGCAACATTTGTTGGGTTGACATTGTGTGGTGCTCATGCTTTGTGTTCAGAACCAAGGCTGCAGTGAACTTGTACGATGCAGCATGAGCAAACGCTGCCAGAAATATCTTGGATTCATTACACATGTGATTTTTAATTAATTTTTGGTCATTGTGCGTTCAGAAACTTTTTATTCTTGCCAAATTTTTTGTGACCCCATATGGGGTCACGACTCACAGTTTAAGAAGTGCCACTCTGGGTGATGGAGTAGGTAGAGTGCCAAGCCTGGAGTCAGGAAGACCTCACACACTCACTAGCTATGTGACCCTGCCCAAGTTACTCAACACTGTTTGCCTCAGTTTCCTCATCTGTCAAATGACCTGGGGAAGGAAATGGCAAACCACTCTAGTATCCGTGCCAAGAAAACCCCAAATGGGATCACAACATGTTGGTCAGTACTGAAATGATTGAACAACAGTAAAAAAAAAAAAAAAAATTATTGAATCAGTGCTTTGAGAAGCTTTCAATATGGGTCTTCTGCTTTCCTATCTCTCTTCTGATTTATTTACCTCTCTTTTTTCAGACTTCTGATCCAGTTTATAGATGATCTAGGATCCTATTACTTTAATTTCCCTCTGCATTTCTCGCTGTCAGGGCTCTTTGAGGCTTAAGAGGACATATGGAGGTGGAGTAACACAAACTGCTCAGGTGTTTTTGTTTTTTGGTTTTTTGGCCACTTTTTAGTGCCTAGGGCAGAGCCACGGTCCAGGGTAAGGATTTTTTAGTGGGTGATAACGATGGAGGTTTGTGATGTGTTCACTCAAGTTCTGCTTGTCACCTTACCAGAGAAGTGAAAATGACTGAGGACCAGTGTTAGGATAGCTTACCTTCCTCATGGAGACAGTAGACATTTGCTCGGACCTTTCCTTTGCATTTTTATCACCTTCCCTTCTTCTCATGTCACTTCGCTTTATTATTATTGTTGTTGTAGCTCATAAGATGTTAGGGTCAAAGATTTAGACTTGGAAGTGTCCTTAGAGACTGACTCCCTTATTTTCCAGATGTTGAAACAGCAGTCCAAAGAGCTGTAATGGCTTACCAATGGTCTCACAGGTAATTCATGGCAGAGGCACCATTCAACCTTTCTTTCTTTCTTTCTTTCTTTCTTTTTTTTTTTTTAGGCAATTGGGGTTAAGCGACTTGCCCAGGGTCACATAGCTAGTAAGTGTCAAGTGTTTGGTCTGAGGTCAAATTTGAACTCAGGTCCTCCTCTCTTTAGCACCGTTGCTCTATCTACTATGCCACCTAGCTGCCCCTCAACCTTTCTTGTTTTTACATTTAAATTTCCTGATAATAAGGTCTGTGTTGTATTTATCTCTACACCCTCAAGCTGAGCACAGTGTCTTGCACACAGTAGGCAATTAATTCAGTTCAGCAAACATTTATTGAATTCAGTAGCTGATGAAAGGTTAAAGGCTCAAAGTAGCTTGTGACTAGTAATTGGCAT